CACCGAATTGCATCAACATGAACTGTTGCAGCCTTTGTCTCCACCCATTTCACCTCTGGCTGCTGTCATGGTTTCACCCATCAAGCAGAGATCTGAGGAGGAACCTGTGCAGGAATCCAGATGGTGACCGAGCCCCTTGGTGTTACACCACAGATCCCACAGTTCGGTGGGAATACTGCAACATCGAGCGGTGTGACAGCAAGCCCAGCACACAAGAACCCCCTACCAATCCAACAGAGCCTGCAGCTTCTCAATCCACTTCTCAGGAAACAGGTTTATCCGTCTACAAACTAACAAATTAATTAAATGTCAAGAGTACCATAGTATTGTCTAAGAGTATGAGTTACAATGTGCTTTGTTTCTTTTTGCAAGATTGTAAGGTTGGCAACGGAGAAACTTACCGGGGTCCCACATCCACTACTATAGTGGGAGTGACCTGCCAAGCATGGAGTTCTATGACCCCCCATCAGCATGCCAGTTTTACCCCAGAAACACATCCAGACAAGGGTCTAGAGTCGAATGTAGGTCTATGCAGAATTTTTAGCATTTTTGAGGGCAGTAACTGACATTTTAATAGTTTTTACTTGGCTACTTTGTTAGCAATGCAGAAACCCAGACAATGATGTGAATGGACCTTGGTGCTATACAACAGATCGAAATAAGAAGTGGGATTACTGTCAGATCCCAGACTGCGGTAACAATTCTTAATATTCCTCTTTGGAAAGTTTTGACTCCAATGGCAAGGGAAATTATCGAATACTTATTGCTGTTACTGGGGCTTAAATACAAACTTTTAAATACAAAATTACTTTCTAACCAGATGGCCTGAAATGCGGACAACCAGCAGTAAAACCCAAGCGGTGCTTTGGGAGGATCGTTGGGGGATGTATTTCCAAAGCTCACTCGTGGCCTTGGCAGATCAGTCTTAGGACCAGGTAAACAAATACGCTACCTTTCTTTACCCCTGTACTCATTAACAGGCAGAAAATAAATCGTATTTATCAACCATTATTTTCTGTCATACCAGAGGCAAAAATCGTTGGGGGATGTATTTCCAAAGCTCACTCGTGGCCTTGGCAGATCAGTCTTAGGACCAGGTAAACAAATACGCTACCTTTCTCTACCCCTGTACTCATTAACAGGCAGTATTTATCAACCATTATTTTCTGTCATACCAGAGGCAAAATTCATTTCTGTGGTGGAACGCTAATTGATGCCCAGTGGGTCCTAACTGCTGCTCACTGCCTAGAGAGGTAAGTGACTGTTTTTTTTAATCGTTTGAAAGCACAAAAAGGCAAATAAAGAGTTCATATTATATGGAATTTTATCAATATAGGAGTACAAACGTGCAGTGGTTCTCACTTTGCTTCTGGGAATTCACAACCCTGTACATTTTGTTTGGCTGTGGACCTCTGAACTGGAGTTGACAACCATGCACTGCACTAGCATATAAATGACCTCAAAGCCTCAAACAGACATGGAATAAAAAACAACTCTTAATGGGTTCATACAGATAAATGTGAACATACCATTATGCAGGTCTGAGAGTCCATCTGCCTACAAGATCTTGCTTGGAATCCACACAGAACGTGCAACTGAATCATCAAAACAGGAGCGAGATGTTTCTAAGATTATTAAGGGACCAGCTGGAACTGACATCGCTCTTCTTAAATTGGACAGGTTAGTCTTCTGTTGTCCACTGTTCATGTCTGTAACTGTTGCATTGCCCATGCAATTGAAATAACACACTGAGTTACAGACATCTAGTGAAGTCTGTAATGTTTTAGATGTTTAAATACAACAGTTAATTCCCCAACACTGACTCAATTATTGGCATGAGTTTTTGGTGGGACTTTCTGTTTGTTTGACCAATGGCAGATGGAGAGTGATCAGGAATCCTGATTAAAAATAGTCACTATCTTTGCAGTTCCAACTGGTGACACTAGTGGTGCAGAATGTACACACTTCTCTTTCCCCAACACTGACTCAATTATTGGCATGAGTTTTTGGTGGGACTTTCTGTTTGTTTGACCAATGGCAGATGGAGAGTGATCAGGAAAAATAGTCACTATCTTTGCAGTTCCAACTGGTGACACTAGTGGTGCAAAATGTACACACTTCTCTGTTAAAGTGCCCCTATTATGCCATTTTTAAGGTTCCTACAATAGGTTCACAATGCATGCAAGGTCAAAAAACACTTTCATTTTCTCAAAATATCACTTCATTTTCCAAAGATTCTAAAACAAATCATTCAAAGCAGTTATAAGATTAGTCTCTCTAGTCTAAACCTTTTCCGTAAGCCTACTCTGCTCTGATTGGTCAGCTGGCCCAGTCTGTTGTGATTGGTCTACCGCGTACAGCGCGTGTCGGAAACGATACGCCCATTTCCATAGTTCCGTATTTTGAACGCTCTATAGAAAATACAAACATCTATTATTTCTCATACTAACAGGTTGTGATTCAGTGGAGCCAGCTGGTCCAAATAAACTGGGTACTGAGCCATCTTTCAAGAACAAGCGCTTTTGTGAATCCCGCGTTGAACTCCCTGAGATTAGAGAAGCAGACATCAGTAAAATAATGGGAACACAAAAAAGATTGGGGTTGTACTGCTGTGGTACAGTGGAAAAAAATGTATTTTAACCATTGATTCTTTGCAGCCTCATCATTCTGAAGTGAAAATAAAACCAATTTACTTCCAAAGCATAGGCCACAGCGTCTTCTCATACTAACAGGTTGTGATTCAGTGGAGCCAGCTGGTCCAAATAAACTGGGTACTGAGCCATCTTTCAAGAACAAGCGCTTTTGTGAATCCCGCGTTGAACTCCCTGAGATTAGAGAAGCAGACATCAGTAAAATAATGGGAACACAAAAAAGATTGGGGTTGTACTGCTGTGGTACAGTGGAAAAAAATGTTTTTTTAACCATTGATTCTTTGCCGCCTCATCATTCTGAAGTGAAAATAAAATCAATTTACTTCCAAAGCATAGGCCACAGCGTCTTCTCGAAATGATGTTAACCACACAAACAAGCTACAGTGTTTGTGGGCGGGGTCAAGTTGTTCGCAGCCAGACAATGCAGAAATAGGCGGGTTTTATACAAATGTGTTACCCCGTGGTGTGTAGCTGAAGTGAGATTCGAATTACTGACGCCTCGTTTAGGCTGTTCAGAGTCGATTCTTTGTTTTGGGAGACAATAACTTTATTTTTCATGCACTTTCGGCTTTACAACTTCGTTTTTTTTTTTTTTCAGACTTCGCAGATTGTTTACTTTCACATACATCTACATTATACACTGCATGAAAGGCAATATTCAAAATGGCATAATAGGGGCACTTTAAGTATTATTTGACTTCGCTACTTTGTGTTAAATTAAATGCAGATCTGGCTTTTGAAACTGTAGTCTAGTCTAATATAACAACCTCATTTTATTTATAATGACATTAAGACAGCAAACTCATGATTGTATCCAATTTTAGGCCTGCATTAATAAACGATAAGGTATTGCCTGCTTGTCTACCAGAAAAGGACTACATTGTACCAAGCAATACTGAATGTTATGTAACAGGCTGGGGGGAGACAGAGGGTAGGTCACTTTAATAAGTACATATAGCCAAATGGATTCTTTATCTTTACTGTTTAAAACCATTTTTGACTTATATAAAAAAGATAAAAGATTTCATAGCTTCAAGCCTATCTGTTTCCTAGAAACTGGTGGAGAGGGTTTCCTGAAAGAAACCGGCTTCCCTGTAATTGAGAATAAAGTCTGCAACAGTCCAGCATATTTGAACGGCCTTGTGAAGGAGCATGAGATGTGTGCAGGAAACATAGGAGGTGGAACGGACAGTTGTCAGGTAAGGGAGTGTGGACTACAGTCACATTAGAAAAAAATGACTTTAGGTTCTTCTAGATTCAATGACTTCATTTGCTCAATTCCAAACCCTAGTGAGCTGCCTACGTAGACAGCATTTTAGGCATAATCATGAATACGAACATTAGAAGCCTTATAAAGTGCCTTACTTGGGCCAAATTTTAAGGAAGAATTGCATATGTTTCTCACTGATACAGCAATCCCAGAATGTGTTTCAACAAACTACACTTTATTCGGTACTGGACAATAGATCCATCCGAATGAGATTTGAGATCAGAGTGACAGATTTTCAGTGAATAGCAACTTAAATTGTGACCTGTTCCTCACACTCATTTAGGGTGACAGCGGTGGGCCTCTAATCTGCTACTCACAGAACACCTTCGTCCTTCAGGGAGTGACATCATGGGGTCTTGGCTGTGCTAAGGCCATGAAACCTGGAGTGTACACCCGCGTCTCCAAGTTCATCAACTGGATAGAACGCAGCATGAAAGAAAACTGAGAATGGAATAGTCAAAACTTAAGCAAATGATGTGTGGAATTTAAGTGTACAACCAAGAATGTAATAATGAAAATGTTATTGATTCATAAGCTGTTGTAAAGTAACACACCCTGTTCAGAAATTCAGCCCACTTTCAGTGTATACAGTTAGATGCACATGCTGGATATGCTCCAATTCGAGCCAATTCCAAGTGATCATATTTTATTACAAAACTCTTCAAAGACCCTAAAATGTTTTCCTACATTAAAGGGGCGGTAAATATCTTCAGAGAAAGTCTCTTTATTTGTGCTCCAGCTTTGCTGTTACAGTAACAATGCTCTAAAATGTTCAAACCCTAATAAGTGACAAAACAAAGAAGTACAATAACATTTATAATCTTGTAATGAACTGCAAAACTGCAACTGAATTTGATTGGAATCAATGTAGAAATGTTGATCCAATGGGTCACGGTTTGTCTAGTTAGCATGACCAGCCCCTGGTGTTAGATGCTGTAACTACAACATTCAGGAATTAAATAGAGTATATCTATACATTAACATATATTTTGCCTATTTTTTCAAATGATTTTTTTTTTTTACAAGAAACATAAATGATATATACATTTATACATATATACATATATATATATATATACATACACGTTTTGCCAATGCCAATTTCACTATAGGTCTTTTAAAAGTCTGAAAATAACTTTTATTTTTCTCTGCTGCTTTTAATGTCACTCCTCAGGATAGTTTCTAGTGAAGTGTTTGGGAGTGTGTGTGTGTGTGTGTGTGTGTGTACCATCAGCCAATCAGCTGTCAGGATGTCATTTTCCTGCATCTCAAGGTTAATTAGGTACATTTGGTGACATCTGACAATACAAACAACACAGTTTGTGTTCTGTTTTTGTACCGAAAATAATGAGAGGTAGTTCTAGCCAGATGACAGCAAGCCTGTAGAGCAGGAACGGCGCTATAATCCCGCCAATGTCACACAGTGTGGAACAGACCGAAACACCCAGATTTCTGAGCCAAACAACATCAGAGAGTAGCATTACTGACCAACCTGATCCTCATTTACATACAGTACGAAAGTCTATAAGTGATATATATATATATATATACACTGATTCTTGACATTAAATATTATCTGTGATGCATAATGAAAAAAAAAAAAACATGTTCACATTGCATTATAACTTACCTGATAACGGTGGGATATAGTTCAGTATTCACAAACACAACCATTTCAAAAGCCATAGTGATGCCCAGCCGTCCAACACAAGCAACAGCACTTTTTAACCAGAACATACCTGTGGAAGAAATACAATTTAAATTAAATACACATAATAACAACCCTTTTTCAGTCAAATTTAATTTTAACTTCAAATGATAACCCACTGTCGGGGATGAACGCTGTGATTAAGCAGGCCGCCCCTGCCACGATATTTGCAGCTGCAAAAGGAAGCCGTCGACCGATCCGCTCAATAGTGAGGAGGATGAGGAAAGCTGCAGGCAATTCCACGATTCCAGATATGAGGAAGTCCACGTACACGTTTCCTCCGAGGATTCCCAGCCTCATAATGAGACCCTGGTAAACCACAGCACTGGTGAACCTGGTAATACAATGGACAGGTTACAGATACATGTTCACCCCACTGTACTTAAAGCTGCAGTCCGTAAGTTTTGCCTCTTTGTCGCCATCTCTGTTTGAAAACCTGCAATTGCAGCTGTATGCGGAATTATATTCCTTGCGGGTTGTGCGCCGGCATGGCTCCAGTGTGGATGAATCTAATGTTTTGAGGAGTATGTGTGGCATTCAGTCACCGCACCGATGTGGATATTGTACTTTGCACTCACAGATTCTAGCCTACGTCTTGGAATATATGACTCAAACAAGCATTTTCACCGGATATTGTCATCTGAACAAGTAATAAATCTGCCAAGTTTGTTCTGACCAACTGAGGAAAAATGCATTACAATAAATCGCGCTACTAATGGTGATTTAATCTAAATGAACTCATATCACATCAAAACGTGCAAATTATTATTATACTTTATTCTCAAATTGTTAATGTTAACAACATCAGTATTTCGTGACTATGAGTATCGTAAGCGAGTAGATTTCAATTTCTGTACAGTCTAATCTCTAATTGTCATAACCAGTGTTGGGGGTAATATATTACAAGTAACGCAAGTTACGTAATCAGATTACTTTTTTCAAGTAACTAGTAAA